ATATTATATATATTTATGACGAAAAAATTATCTATCTCGTATTCTAGGAGCACATGTTAATTTTTTCTTTTCTTTTCCCTTTTTTTTTGGTACATTCTTTTTTTCTTTTCTTTTTGCCAAATCTAAAGTTCTGTTTGTTTTAGCACTTTTATATTCATCTTTCCATCTCCATTGATGACTTTAGATGTTGGGTCATCAAACTGCATATGGGGTAATTATCAATAATATTATAAATTTGATAGTTATTTTTCAATATTTTAATAATTAATTTTTAAAAGTAATTTGCATCTATATAATTAAAATTTTGAAAAGTAAAAAAATAAAAAGTCCTACAATTAAAAGTATATGTTTGGGTTGAAAGAAACATAAACACCCATAATTAATAGGAATGCATTAAGATTTATTAGTTGTATTTTTTTCTACATTAACATAAAATCTAATAGTAAAATTATTTGAGCACTTAATCACAAGTCGAGGATTTAATCTCTACTCATTACATCTTTACTTAATTAGTCAATAATTCTTCGTAAGTTTTGTCAAATCAACTATTAGAGATTTAATTTAATTTTATATAAATTATGTATGTCAAATTTTAATATGGTATGGTATGATATCTATAAGCATACAAATGAGAATCCGTGTTCTTTTATATTTATTTAACAAATTAAAATTAAATATAACTATGAAGCACTTAAACACAATTTATTATTTTCAAAATTTAACATATATAATTTATATAAATAAAATATTAAATTTACTAGTTATTTTAATAAAATACAAATTATATAAAAATTATTGCCTAATGTGGGTTACATTAATATAAATTGATTCTCACTTATATATGACAGTAAAAAAGTACCATAAAAACAGTCCAAAACGGACCCTAACTTTGTAAAGGGAAGCTGTATTACAGTTCAATCTAGTAAAATTAAAATCATTGTATGAAAAGAATTCCATTATTAATATTATGCAATCTTATACAATATCTTCCCACTTTTGACATGTTTGGAAACTTAAATTTAGTTAGAGTGTATTTAAATTTGAGGCTCTGAACTTAAATACATTATTTGTTTTTACTTAAATGTAATGTATTTAAATTTTATCTAAATATATGTATTTGAAACTTTGTATTTCAAATTTAAAATTACATATATTTCAAATACATTTTCTAACCTATGAATTTCAATTCAAAATTCTTATATTTCATCAAAATAATTAAAAGAGAGTTTAATTTAATAAGAAAATCAATTTTAAATATGATACATTTTAATATATCCAAACAATATATTTAAACATACTTGTATTTAAAATTTATATTTTAAAAATTAATCCAAATAATATATTTTAAAATACATATATTTAAAATACATAAATTTTAAATATGAACATTTCATATACATATATCAAATACAAATACACGTTTCCAACAGTAACTTTTTAGTTTTTCCCTTTGTAAATGTAATTTTTATAATCCCAGTGGGACTATAACAAACTCCTTAAATTCCAAGCAAACTGGCGATGACCTTACCTTGCTCTTATTAAAAACCTGCTTCCATAAATGGCATAGATTTCCAGAGATTCTCAGACACATATAATGCATGCAGTTCTTCATCAATTTATTTTCCCACTAACCAATCAGAATAGGGTCAGTTCTTAGCAACACAGAAAGAAAGAAAGAAAGGGAGAGAAGATTTTGAGGATTTCTTTTTTGTTAAGTTTTTTCCTCTGTTTCTCGGACAAATTAAATTTTGCTCGGAATTCTAGGAAACTACGATACTTTTGTTCCGAAGATCTTTCTTCAGCTTAAAACATGGGTGGACTTTCCTTAATGCCACTTCTTCATTACGAATAGGTAGCCGCTTTAAGCTCCACATCCTTTGAGATTTCATTTCCTTGTATCTCGCTTTTTTGGAATGATTTTTTGGTACTCTGTTTAAGATTTGTGATCTTGAAAATGGGATTCTTTTTTACTTTTTCTTTTGGATTTTGTTTTTGTTATTTAAGTATTAGCATAGATTCACGCCAAGAATCCTAGAAGTATGTGTAGCAATACAAGCAGCAGCTGCGGTGGCGATTTGGAGTGTGCCACCTCTGGTTCGAGGAAGCAAAAGAGGCAGAGGATACCCAGAAGAGGACCGGGGGTGGCGGAGCTGGAGAAGATTTTGAGAGAGCAAGAGAACAGAGATGACATGGACAAAGGGGTAATGGGAGCGTTTCTTTCTTCTCCAACCTCTTTGCCTAAAAAATTTTCATTTCCTCAAGATCATAAGAATTTCGGCCCCCCTCTGCCACCGGCAGTCACCGGCCTCCTTGGTACCGGTGCCGGAGATGTTAATGTCAATGTTAATGTTAGTGGTGATAGAAATAGTAGTTCACAGTTGGGAGGTGTCCATACTGGTGGATCGGGGAGAATTTCACCGGAAAATCATTTGAGTACTCCACCTCTCCCACGGATGTCCACCCATTTCCGGAGCGGTGGTGGTGGTGTTAATCTTAACAGTAATGGCAATGGTAATTCAAAATTAGTGGGTGATGGTAGTAGTGGAGGTAACGGTGGCAGCAGACCCATGGTTTTGCCCTGTGGTAGTGGGGACAATGGTGGCGGCAGAGGCCATGATAGGGGCAGATCGGCCAATACGGAAAATCATCATTTCAGTCCACCTTTTCCACCGGTGTACAGTATGGGAAATGGTAGCAAAGGTGTCTTTATGGGGGGATCAGGCACAGTTTTGCCTGTAAAGTTGTTCATGCCAACAACGCCAACAAATCGTGACTCCGATGAGAGAAAGGTGGACATGGATTGTCGTAAAATGGTTTCTGATTTACCATTTCCGGCGCATTTTCTTGATCATAATCAAATGTTTCCTACTTCTCCGAGGCTACCAAAGAAACCTTCAACGGTGAGAAGGAAAAACGTTTTTCTTTTTGATTTTTCTTTCTTATAATTTGTGTTTAGTTCTCTTCTTGTTTGAGATTTTAGTGTAAATCTGAACGTCTGTGCAACTTTCAGATGAACCTTTTCCCGAATCCGCCATTGTCGTCTTCATCATCCTCTTCGTCTACAGGATTATATCAGCATCATGTAGAGCCCCCTTCAAACCAAAGGTCTTATCAGAACTACACAGCTCAATCGCCAGAGGAAGATATTAAGGCATGTCTAAGCATAATAACTCCTTTTTCCTCTCTAATTAATTTGATTCTGTTACTTTTTGTTCATCCCCTTGAACATGTGAGTTCTGTTCAAAAACATAATTTTTTGAAAACAAATCAATATTTATATTTTGATCTGATTTGTTTGGTTGATTTTGATAGGGGATAGTTTTCTAATGTCAATTATGTTTTCTACCAAAAGATAGCAGGCACCAAGAGGCCGAGGCCTTTCCCCACTGTCTCTGAGAACCCTCCTTCAGCTGCTCCTTCTCCCTTTTGCGCCCAACATCCATCCCTACCCACTCTCATGCATAGACTAGACCCTTCATATTTGGTTGGTAATCATGGTGGCTTCAACCTTGGGACAACATCAGCATCAAGGTTAGCCATTTTTTCTTGTAAAAGTGTAATACTTCTTCTCCCTTGAACCTTTGGCTCTTTAGTTACTTGTTTTAACTTCATCAGAGACCGAATTCAAAGTAGCATTTTGGAGCTTACTATGACAAAGGGTATGGCAGATTATGCAACAAATGGTGGCAACAATGGCATCATGTTTGGCTCTCCAACCACTCCTTCCCAGTCAGTGCAAACTTGCCAGCAGGAACTTTTCAAAGTCCAGCCGTTCCCTTCCCAAGTAAGGCATACTTTGTAAAAATTGTCTTCTTTGCCATTTCTGCTATGTTTCCTCCCATAATTTCATTGTATAATTAATATCATTTTGGGCTCTTAATTTTTTTCCCAATTTTAGGAATTGATGAAGGAAAGATGTGAGACCTCTTGGGCATGCCAAAGGTCAATAGCAGATGGATCAGGTCAGCGGAAGCCTTTCTATTGCTTCTTACAGCCAGAAGAGGAGATGGAGGCAGCAGATACAAGGCTTAGTTTACATGAGAGATGTGAAACAAGAGAAGATGAAATTGATCTCGACCTGAAGCTTTAGAAGTAGGTAATGAATCTTTAGATTATATGCAGTTCTCTAAACAGCTAAGCAAAATAGGCATTCTATCTAGCAATGGTGGTGTACCCGGCTGGAGTGCTTCCTAGCGTTCTTGATGAAGACTAGTAGTGTTCTAACCTCCTGTCTTCTTCTAAATCCCACTTGAACATGATTCTTTACATTGGTCTTTGTTTGAAGATTAGAACTTGTAACAGATAGTAAAATAGCCTTTTTAGAGGCAGAACCGCTTTTGTGTAGATCACTGCAACTGTAGTATGGATCTTTTTTATTCAAAGTAGCAAAACAAGGCAAAAAGTAGCTTTATTCTCCTGATCTTTTCATTGTTCAACAGAAACACTAGACAAGAAAAGAAAAACATCACAAACTTTAAAGGAAAACATCAGCTAATTCTCATATAAGTACTTTGAGCCCGAGTCCTAACGATATTATTGATCATGGCTACCTTAGACCATCCAAGAACTTCAGTCAGAAAATTCATCAAAAGAGATATGGGGTATGTCAACGACTTAAATAACTCAATGATTATCTCATTCTGTTGGAAGTAAGAGGTTCTGAATTCGAGTCGTATAACATGCAAATGGAGTAGGATAAGGGATAAGAAATGATTATCTCTTATTGTGCAACAAAAAAAAAAAAAAAAAAAGAAGAAAAAGAAAGAGATACGGGGTATAGAAGATACACAATAAAATACATGTCCAAAAGGGTATCTTGGTGCTGAAGCTTGCAAAGAGTTCGATTGCCATGCAGATAATTAGAACCGCTGTAACGAAATTATCTCAAATGTATACAAGCAATAAGAAGACGATTAAACCCATCAAATTGTTCATGAACGCTTCACCATATCATCTGCAAAATACATGGAGAGGCATCGAATCCAGGTGGGAACCAAATCAATTTGACAAGATAGAAGTTTGGGAAACAAAAATGATACCTCAGAAAATGTCAAGGAAAACAGCATTCTGTGTTTTGTGTGGCAGAAGATTTTGCTCTAAATACCTGGTAGGTGATGAGGAAAGCAACATAAATGATAAGCCAAACAAAGACAACTATTCGAGTGGCTGTGTATGAGTTCAGAATTTTGGCAAGCTGAAGAATGGAAAACGGAATCATTGACACAAGCAATATTCTTGCTGTATAGTTTGTCTCGAGATCAATTCTCACACGTTACCTGTTCACACAAGTTAAATTAGGTGTTGAACTGAATGAATTCGAGATGTTTCTTGTTCGGGAAGTAAAACTATGCAAAATTGAGAAGAGAAGTGAAAAACCACTTAAGCTGAATGGTTTCTTGTTTTGAGAATGTGATGGAGCTGAAGTTAGCTCATTATCGGGATTGAATGAATTTGATAAAGTTGAGGTCTATGAAAGATCAAAGCTACCAAAAGCCACAACAGAAGCCCAAATTAGTGTAAGTTGCATGATTGCTGATCCCGCAAGCATGCTCATCGACATTTCTGCCATATTTTCCAGTAGGGTATTCGCAGGGTGGTTTGGTTCGGATTTTAACATTTTTTAATCCAATCCAATTTAATCGGTTAATAAAATTTTTAAACCAATTCAATCTACTATTATATGATAACCAAACCAATCCAATTTAAATCGGATTTGTGTGGTTCGGTCGAATTGATCAGTTTTTAACACTATTAAATATATGAGATAATGTAAATAAATTTAACATTAAATAAAAAACATAAATATAAAATACGTTAATATCCAAATAAATAGAAACATAATTTAAAAAAGTACAAATTATAAACAAATTCTTATACCCTTTTACAATTGTAAAAATTGAAAAGATTTAGAAATTATAAATAAATTCTTAAATCTTTATCTTGATCTCCAAGAATACCCAAAAGAGGGCTGCCAACAGCCTCCTAAACTCTTTTAATTCTGAATTTGGATGGGTATTTATAAGATTTTAGAAACCCTAATTGAAATAGAAGTAGGATTTGAAACAGAATAAAAAACTTGAATGTTTGACGCTGAACGTATAATGCTGATACTCTGAATTACGTAACGACACAAAACAAGAAACAGAAAGTTTGATTCTGGACTATTAACCCATGGTGTCGACACCCATATTATGTGTTTAAGAATAAACCTAGCAAAATGAAGACGACAACCTTGGCAAGTGCACACTACTCAAGAAGATAGGGTTTTACGAATAAAGTAGCAATTCACTTATAAAGGTAATTGTAAGGGAATTTGAAATTTAAAATTAAAATTTAGGTATATAATTAAAAAAAATAAAAATAAATTAAGAAATATAAAATATGCTATTTTTATTTTTAATTAAATCAACAGAGTTATTATCTTGTAAAATAAGAAAAACAAATTTGAAATGTTATAAAAATATTATATTATTTAATTAAGTTGTTTTATAATCGGATTTTTTTTATAATCGGACGGTTCGGACAGTTTAAAAGTAAAACCACAAACCAAACCAGTTATATCAGTTTTAAATTTTTATAATCCAAACTAACCCAATTTTATATCGGTTTGGTTTGGTTTTTAATCGGATTAGATCAATTTAAATCGGATTAATCAGATTGGATCGGATATGAACACCCCTATTTTCCAGCATCCTCACTTCCTGAGACTACAGAAAATGCAACAGCAACACAACATAATTCTGCATAAGCTCATCCCCGTTGACTAACTAATCA